TTCCCTCCAATTATCTTCTTCGCGCCCAATTAAACCCCAAATTTCTCCCAATCTCGGCGCGACAATTTGTTCAGCTTTCAACCAATCCCACAAAACCAGAAACCGTACGACCCGCCGGAAAAGCGATTTCAGCGACGGCGCTGACCCGGTTCAGGATTCCGGTTTCATCAACGACAACGGCGCCGTCGAGGACATGGACGGCTACCTCAATTACCTATCCCTTGAGTACGACTCCGTTTGGGACACCAAGCCTTCATGGTAATGCCCTTGATAGCTAGCTTATTATGCAATCTGTTGAATTTTTAAGAATTTAATAATTCTGAGGAATTTTATTCTATGCTCAATTAAGGTGAAATTTGATGGGTTTTGTAGCTGGTGGTCTGATTCATGAGTAGCCCATATAAGGATTTGGTGACTATTCGAAACTATATGGTTTAGCATAATATACATGTTTGTGTAAGACGGCCTAACCATTTAGGCAGGACATTTGTAGCAATCGTAAACTTGTGCTATGAAATATCATATTTTTGTTTATACTTTTGTTTATGTTGTTTTTAGAGTATGGCATTTTAGTATGAAACGAGACTGTCTAACTGTTAGGCTTGCCCAACAACAAATAGTAGCCTGGAGAAAGTTAATTTCAATGTTATAAATACGATGTATATATGTTTATCGAACTTTTACCAACTGCATTGTTTTTGTTATGCGTTGGAAAGGGTTTTTGTATCTTTCAAGTATAATTCGATTCAATTTTTGTTGGTCATGAAACCTTATGTATTTAGTTGTGTGCAGAGGGATATGACAAGATATTTTTGACATGAACTTATGTGGGTGTGTTCAAATTTAGCACATGAGATTCACATTTCATGGGCTAGAGTTAGGTATAGGAAGTTCATCTTTACTACCTCCATCTCAAGACAGAACTGGTTAACAAAATGGGTTTCAAAAGAAGAATGTGATCATAAGGATGTGTAATCGATGTAGTTTCAGACAAATGTTAGCTCTCTCTTTTTTATTTTTCTCATCTATTTTCAGGTGCCAACCTTGGACAATCGCTCTAACTGGAATAGGAATAATTACGGGTAGTTGGCTGATTTTGAACTCCATTATTGTTACCTCGATAGTAGCAGTTGTAATTTGTCTGTGGTGGTACATATTCCTGTACTCTTATCCAAAGGTATGATGAACATGTCCTCATCCTTACCATAATTACCTGCCTTTGTATTGAAAGCAAGCATGCCAACCATTTATGTTAGAAATGTTTGAAACGAAGAAATGGAAATGGTAGAAGCACACGATTTGGCCATTACTAAACTTCCATAGGCATGCTGGTTTAGTTTAGGGTTAATCCCAAGAAAAGTAAGTAAATAAAAAGAGAAATCTCCTGATACCTTTAAGATTACGAATATCCCCTTGATATTTTTCTTTTACTCTAGACTTTTGCTTTTATTTTTATGCACTACATCTTCAACTGGGAAGATTCAATGCGGGACAAAAAAAAAATGTAAACCATAATGGGTGTTGGTAATGCTTATGGAGGTAATTGTAATCGTAAAAGGCCTTGGGAATCTGTTACTTGTTAGTAATTAGGACAAATGACGGGGGTAATTTTTGTCTTATATTTACTCCCTCATGGTATTTGTTTTTGCAGGCATACTCGGATATGATTGACGAGCGAAGAAAGAAGGTAACAAATGGTCTAGAAGATACTTACGGTATGGAGACAGAACAATGAACTTTTAGATGGGAAATAAGAGGTATGAATTAAGATGAAAAAGTTCATCACTGTAAAAGATATTACACACTTTCAGATTTTTGGTATAAGTTTTATATAGTAATATGTTACATGTAACACTCCATTGTCAGCAACTTTGCACTTCTCTTGTTGGGTCTCCTTCCACACCAGATCTCAGTGGAGTGAAAACAACACTATTATGTAACTAGAGTTTACTTATTAAAAACAACACTATATATTATGTAACTAGAATTTACTTTTCAAAAACAACACTATATAGTATGTATAATCTATCTGTGTGACAAAATTCTTTTCAAAGCATAGATGGATGCAATGGCTAATACTAAATGTCCATTTGACCCCAATCAATACACA